TGAGTTAGCCATAAAAGGCGAGCTTTTAAGTATATCTCCGTAGGTATATCAATCAATGCAATTACTTCGCTCCACTCACCTATTAACATTATTTCTCGCCGCAGCGATGTTAAAAAGTTCGTAAGACATCTCAGTTAACACAGCTTGCGCAAGATTTACCTTTAAAGAAATTACCGAATACAAAGAGCGAACTGTTTCTTTCTGCTCGCCGAGTAACGCAATCAATGCAAGCTTGCGCACGCAATTAGTATGTTTGATACGACCTTAATGGCTTATCTTTTTCATAATTAATTAAATGTTTTTTGAGTTAATGATGATAATCGAGTACTGTGCTGAATTAATGTTTCTCTTATTTCTCCTTGAAAAACATAAATTACGAATCCTTTCATAAGACAGAAATGACTTCATATAAATTACAAAACTTAAAGTAATTCATTAAGTAATTAATTGGTAAAAGCAATTCTGGCTGTTGCTCTAAAGATTATTGTCACATCACATTTCAATCAAGTTATTTATTGGTATAATATTCTGCTTACAGAAGTAAAGAAAGAATTGTAGAGCTAAACGGAACTAATCTAAATTTTACATATTAAAATCTGTTTTGTATCATATAAAAGTTTCAGTTTTAATGATAACATCTAATTTTGGGTTGTAATAACAAGTTCAATCTAAGGTATTGTAATAACAAGTTGTTTCACCTAATTCCCTCGAAGTATTTAAATGCACACTAATCGGTACCATAATCAAATTGCTGTGCAAACTTTGTAATTATAGTTCCAACAGAAGCGTTTGAATCTGAGCACAACGCATTATCTTTACGGGGATTGTAAAATTCTACGGTCGATGGGATATAACAAGTAATGTACGCTTATGCAAAACACGTCTATATCATTAATAGCTATAAAGATCTTTAACGTAAATTGCAGAGCCAACCACGCCTTAGATCTCGTGAGGAAATCTATCCCGCGCGCATTTTGACACCGCGACCCACGCTAGATCATGTTTCTGTATCTACCGGTAGTGGGAAAGTGTTATTGTCAGCGGCTTACGTAAAACATCTTAATCTATTGGTTCGTTAATTAATGATCGGCTCGCTACAGTATCTTACTAATGTCACGTGAATCCATTCCATTTCAATTCATCATCAACATAATTTTAATATCTTATAGGTACATAGATATGAAGGTAGTCATCAAAGTGAACTAAAAGTCAAGGCTGCAGCCTGCTTTCTTTCAGAATTCATAAAAGTAAAAAGCAAGCTTTCTCCAGTTTAAGAATAGAATCAAAAAGAATCTAGAATTAGATCTTTTATTACCTCAAAAGTCCTCCAAATCCAGGACAGATTATTTCCTGATTACATAAATGCAATAGACAACTTAACTAATAATATTTTAATGTTTCTGATTTCCTTAAGTACCCAAGCTACTAAGTTTAATTTTGATAGAACACGTGGAGGCAAGGTGTAAAATACTGAACATAAACTATTTACGTAAAGATAATTCTTACCAGAAATTGCTTCTATAAACGTTTAGTAGTTAGATACTCATTATATATCATAAACAGCCATTAATTTTCTGTACGTGTTGTCTTGTATTTATAAGGCAATAAAAAATTTAAGACCGAAGTGCAATGCACTATTGTTGTCTGGAATGTCGCCAACACGCTGATATATAGATTTTTCTACGAGTTTAATGTCAACGACTGCGACGGTTTTCCTTTTTCCCGGGACTGTCGGGTGAGTCAATGACCTAAACAAATAAAAATGCACAATGTATAATGTAAGTTTAGTCATAAATGCTTCCTAAAATTTATCGAATAAAGAACGATGCCAAGTGGTACAACTACTATAATAAATATGCAACTCAACTTCCGTGACAATTTTATTGTATAAACTTGACTGTTCGTAGTATTTCCTACGCTTTCCATCTATATGAATTACTGACACACGGAATATCCCGCGGAAATATGTGGAATTGTCGAATAACCAATTATATTTAGTTAAAAGAGCACATGTAGAAGTTAAACTTCTTAAATAGAATGTATTTAAAAGCCAGTGTTATGAGTCAAAGGGTGTTGAATTACCACGAAAGACTGATGCGGGTTGATCTCATTATTTTCGTTAATAATAGTCATGTTATTGTTTAGTACCACAAATAACATAAAATGGATTTGCCCTAAGCAAGTGCGCTTTTATGGTATAAAACATCGAGGTTCTGAGGCATCAGGTACCTATCAGTACGTCATCATCAAACCCGTTCATAAAAATAACTGATAGCTTAGTTGTTTGTAACTTTACATTTTATATTTACAAGAGCGAGGTTTTGTAAATAAGTTTACCTATTCTGCTTCAAGGTCAAGTAGATAGCATGATTCGACCATTCATGCATTCAAATAATCATACGTACATCTGCAATTTGTAAGAAGTTGTAAGTAGATGCGTGGGCGCACTAAACTGATTAGTGGAGCAAAGTTCAGCGCTCGCTGCGGAATTGGCGAATTGAAAGTTCATCACTTAAATCGCATTGTTTGTAAATCAGTTTGTTCTCTTAAACCGGGACATGTTTATTTCAAGACCAACTGCCTAGACACGTACTTCATTACTGAACTTCATAGCTCGTACGAAAATATTCACTCTTGACATTATTTTTTATTACAAGACTAAGATTCGATTAATGTAACTAACTTCATAAGACATAAACAATAGTTATCTATTTATAGTCAATAGTTTATTTAACAATCATTACTGACATTTTTAGCAATTAAAAATTCTTAAATGTATGCTGTCATTAAGATTTCTTCTTTCATGTTTTCACTTGTTTATCATTCCTGTCTTGTAGGCAGTGTAACATAAATTGAAAGAATCTCAATCAACTTATTCGAAAATAACAAAACGGAGATGCATATTCAAGCACGCTTGTTTATTTTGAATGCATTTTTATTTATTATTGGAACTGGTTGCACGAGAACGTCGTCGCCGCCGAGTGCTAGCTAGGTGTCGCAACAGGGTTCAACATTTCTGTGGGCCGCACTACCACCCACACCTCGGAGCCTTATTACAGGTTACTCCACTATCTCTCCTCTTGTCTGTTACCGTCTTTCTCATAACTAAGGGCACGAGTGAGACAGCTGACTCTGTGTCGATTAGTCAGATAGGAATAATCGTCAACATCTCCGGTATTATCCGCTACTCCCACATTCGGTTTCACATGCGCGAACTCAGATTAAAGGGTTTATTGCCCTTGGCCGTCGTTAGACCTACAGCAGTGCAACCTATTTATTTTCAATCTGTAAAACATTTATTCGAAGAACTACTTACAGTTTATAGTAACATTTTTATTGCGGAGAAGTGAACGATACAATCTTTACGTTTACCACTTACACGGCGAAGCAGTAGTAGATAAATAAAACTGAATCTTTACTATCTGAAGCTTTGATTAAGGAAATAATCAAAGGTCTGAAGTAAAGACTCTTTTTATTTCAATAATACTCTAAACATCCCCAATTGAACCTGTGTCAACTACAGACTATGGAATGCTTCACTGCCTGTATATTGTTATGAAAATGTTAATATGCGCTGCCGCAACAACAATTTCACAATAGTTCTCTACTCCATCGACATAGCGTAAAACGTCTGTAACTCGGATTAATGATAAGTAAATTATTTTTTTGTCAATACAACTATTTAGGTATCATCAATCTGAGATACAGGTGCTAATAGTGACCTACTTTATTATTTTGTTCATTGGTTACCACTTTCATTAACAATTCATATAATAGGCTATATTTGGTCTGTTGGTAGACTTTTACCTAATCCCATTAGACATTTTCTAATAGATATCTTTGTACGCATGACCTTCATTCTCGCACAAGTATCTTAAATGAGGGCCCAGTCACGCTTATAAATTATACACCATGTACGGTTAACAAAACATTCCCTCGGTTTCATCGGTAGCATTAGTATAAGGCGATTGCAACAAACAAAGCTAAAGTGGACGGTGATCATGAACTTGTCGTGTGCACCGTCTCTTTGCAGTAGCTTTAAAGTGATCTTTATCAAGTGAATTATAAAGTTGTATATCGTCTTAGTGTTCGAGTGCAGGTATCGCAACTTGCATCCGCATTAACAAACCTACTCGAATGGTCATCAATCCACGCCTCGTCTGCAGCTTGTGGCGCCGCTTTAGACATTTAACAAGGAATTAAAGCTGCCGATATGGAAACTACAAGTCTACCGTACAGCTAATTACTGTGCAACTGCACAATAGTTAAGTTATTATGGTCATTACTAGGTGCCGGTATCGACTATTATAAAATAATTAAATAAGAAAAGCAATATCCATTCCATAAACTTACAAAACTACGCTGTATTACTAAACCGTACTCCTAGCACGAACCAATATCGAATTCGAATAGTTTTCGACTGCGAAATGTCATTGTCAAATGTGTACTGATTATTAGTTCTCGTTACGTCCGTTATGGCGCTGCTGTTCAAGTTTCCTTACAACGTTTCACAATGACATTTCGAACTCGCAAACTATTCGAATTCGATAGTGGTTCGTGCTAAGGGTAGCGTAATGAGACCAGTCAGTGTACTGGCACATTTACGTTGAAACACAAAGAACAAATTTTCACAAGCCCTGTAAATAGTGTTATTGCACTGATTGCAATATTTTTTCTATTTGCGTTTTGTTTGCATTGAAAATAAGCGTTACGAAGTAATTCGAACCATGATCACTGAAAAGAAAATGTCAATGTCGGCAAATACTTAAGACTCGCTCTATTTCTATCAAATCGTATGCCCTTATCTCATCCAGTTGCCGCGTTTAAAGAAATGACCACTATTTAACTATAAATAAATAAAATAATAAATATTCATAAAAAAATTCGATTCTGTGAGATGTGCGTATGTATTATAAAACTTAAATTGTCTGGGTGTGCAGGTGTATTAAACACACCCACTCACAGACATTTAAAATTAAACCTCGTCTCGCTTGTTACAGAGTGAACACTGTTCAGCACATGTCAACGACAATTGGTGTCCAGGAGTGGAAGAGGTGCCAGCCGTCGCACAGGAAAGTGTACCCAGCACGCTCACAAGCCTTGGGAGGTACCCTGTCACTGCGAAAGTGGACAAATCTAGCCCCAGGATATCTTATAACTATGAATGGACCGTTGCAACAAAACCTAATGTAAGTTTTATAACCATTCAAATTTAGCATACCAAAAAATAAGATGTCAGCGCTTGTGTATGATCGTGTTTTTGTCATATTAGATAATACCAACCACCCAACTCTCAAAAATTTAAGAACCGTTATAAGAGTGGGTAATAATAGTCCTCATAATAATTAGGCTGACGATATTATAATTGCTTTTGTAATCTCCAATCAAGATAATTGTCAACAGGTTCACATAACTGTTTTGAATACGACGCAGACGGACAATGTTCAAATATTCGAAAAGACAGATTGCTCGAATGGGAAATGTATAACGCATTTGAGTGTACAACCCGAGACGAATTTCTGTTTGCCGGACAGCGGGAAGTTCGAATTCGTAAACATGAAAATACGGGTAGACAACGTGACGGAAGACGCTACTGTGAAATATCATGTGCCATGCGCTTGCGCGTGCAGTGACAAAGTCGAAAGGAATTCGCCAACCTGTAATAAAAATGGTGACTTCTCTTGTGGTGTCTGCAGCTGTAAGAGAGGATGGTAAGGAAACGCTGTTTTTATTCTAGTCGCTTCTTGAAAGACTTTATAACAACTACCGAAAACTTACTCTAATACTATTTAATTAGATAAATAGTACAACTCATTGACACGATCTCTACAATTTAAATGCTAATATCTAATTTCTCAAGAAATTACCAATGTATAACGAAATGAACTCTGAAATTCGTTATGTTAAATAGTAGATTAATTAATGACAACATGACCATAACTGGCGGCAGTTTTGTCACCTTGTTTGTGCACAACGCGACTGTCACTGGAGATTATAAACAGCACCAAATAAAAAAAACAAGTTCCCCAGTGAAGTAGCACAGCACAATGCAAAAGATACATTAAAAAGTTACCAGTGTATGAACAAATGTGTCTTTGTCCTACCCACATTAGCAATTAGTAGCATAAGAGGCCGTCTCATCTGAATGGCCGTGTTATTAAATATACGAGCATTATTCAGTGACAAAAGAGATTTATCTGTATGGAGAGAAAGTGCTCTCGAGGTTTTTAAAAGGTTCTTATCGCCAACATTTTAATGCCAATGCCATGTCCAACATTCAATTAATCTTTGCGGTATTCTAATATGTTCCTAATCTATTATTAATGAGACGTGCAAAAATTTTGTAACCGTTATTTTGAATATGCAAAAATTATGTACTCCCAACCAATTACGAAGCAAGCTGATGATAAAATCGCTTCGAATGCGAAACGTGACTTGCGATCGAATAAATGTAAATAGGTGCCAAATTGTTGTAACAACGGACATCACTCAGTATGGTGTTCCAGGAAATCCGTGTCAAGTTACTATCTTACGATCGCAAACCCATAGTTGCTTTTAATAGTTTACCGTACATCTGCGGTGAAATCTTTTCCGCCCGATAATAACGTTGTGGCTTCTCATTAAGTCTGGATTCAATTGTGATTTCACAATATAAAAAGAAAGCTTATTCACCAGGTCTGGTAAATTCTGCGACATCAAAGAACAGCCGAAATGCGACGACCGTCGAGGTGATCTTCAGTGTACTAATCCTTACAAAGACTACGTAAGTATTACTACTATAAGTGATAAAGATCAGTTTTAAGTGTCGTATATTAATAAATCTGTAGCGAGTTGCCTATAACACTATGAATTTCAATGTATCTATAGATAGACCTGCCCCCGTATCATGAGCACTACAATTTACATTATATCATGTTTCTTATCGCGTCTAACTGTCAAACTCTATAGTAATTTGACAATTGAGCGTGATAAAAACGCGTTATATATCGTAATCAATTAATATTTTTAATAATAAATAAAAAAATCATAATCAATTTTGATGTCAAACTATCAACTCTTTGAAAACGCCGTACAGGTGGAGTGTTCAGGCAACGGCTACTGTGGTCCTTGCGACAGCTGCATCTGTTACGACGACAGGGAGGGCTCGCAGTACTTCCAAACGGACAACTTCTGCGCCGACCTGTGCATGACCATCGCCAGTATGTGCGAGCCTTGTCTCCGCGACAAACCTTTAGGGAAATGCGCAGACTGCTCCTATCTAACCATCCAAGCATACAACCGATCGCTCCTGGAACAAAGAGACGACTACAACAGGAAAGTGTGGGTGAAGTGCACGGAGAAGATCGACGAATGCAACTATAATTATGCCGCGATGAGGGACGCCAACGATGACATCTACGTGATGAAGATTAGCAACTGTAACGCTATCAGCGAAGCGGTTGCCGGAGGGGGTGTGAACCGTGAGTACTTTGTTTTTTAAATGAAAAGGGGAAAAAAACAAAAGAAAGATTATAGATATTAACGGGATTGTTACCATGTACCTTGTTTTTTATGAGTCTCCGATCAAAAAAGTGTCGTTCCGCGATCTGATACTGTGAGTATTGTGCGCCGGGAACAAATGCGAGTGAATAGTGAGAATGTGACCAGTGGTAGTGGTAGTATCGAACGCAGTAAAAGACGACGTCAGAGGGTAGACCGATATGTCTGCCAATAACATCTACCCGCAATTACTTCTGTTGCTCCGTATTCATGGCGCTTGCAACAGTGCCGAAATATCGGAGACTCATAAAAAACAAGGTACATGGTAACAATCCCGTTAATATCTATAATGTTAGTGACCATGAAAGTTTAAAACAATATAAAAGAAAGATGTTTAGAAAATCATATAAACTGAAAATATTTATGTTGTTGTAAACGAAATCTTCACTTGCTCCAGTAGTAGTACTAATAGTAATTTGCTGACTAAATCACTATGCATGTTAGCTATGCATGCATAAGTATTACGAGTTCACTACTCAAGCTTGTAGTAATTTACCAATGAGTGCAAAGTACAATAGAAGTCCTCTTCTATGTTTAGGATTTTTCTATACTTGCCTACAGTAAATTTGTATTTTTACAAAAACTTGAATTTGAATCAATAAACGCATAATATATCAGCTCTTGCTCTATGAAAATAATCCATTAGATGAACGACTTTGATTTAAGTAATTTGAATGATTCTTTAATCGTTATTTGAATTATGATAAAATTATGATGGTTTCTAATATTGTACGTCTTATATGAATACCTATTTGAGTTGTCATTACATCGTGACAAACAACATTCGCTTTCTCCTAAGTTTGCTCAACTGTTTTTGAACTTTTCCTTAATTTTAACTAATGTTGTAACTATTATCTTATTATATATTGCCAACCAGCTTTGCCTATTTCGATACGAAGTTCAGTGTCACATCAGACACACATCCGTTGTTGCGGCTAACTGTTCTCTTCACGTTACTGATATGATTCATGTAACATTTAATAACCATTCTGAATGGATTTTTCAGACATTATTTTACCGTAGCAAGTGACTAACGAGTGATTATTGTACTTAAAACGGCGTAAATATTTCTTGCATTTTACCTTCTGTCTGTGCAAATGGTATTTTCAGTATGCAAAGAGTTGCCTAGCCTGACTCAGTTTTACGCAATAGGAAAATTATAATATTCAAATACCTAAGAAAGATCTTTTTGGTCGCTGTCGTCAATACGTCACCTTATCGCCTATTTGTGCTTCAAATTTTATTTAAAGTTAATTTACGACCAGCAATTTGTTTCCCTATGTATACATTTTATATCAATATCTAAACAATACTTAGAAACACTACAAAATTAACATCAAATCGATTACTAGAATGTTTATTTGTATTGAACACATTGTTAATTTTATGCTGTGTTAAGTGGATGCACAATATCATCAAAAACAAGAGATTAAATAAAGGAAATATCCATTTCCAGAATTATAATTAGAAGGTGAAACATTCACAATCACAATCAATAACCGTTTCTAATAAAAGAGAAAGGTTTATCAAGTTACTAGGTCACGATTGATTTAAGAAAAAAAAACTTTATATATCATCATCAAAAGCAACGAAACTACATTTTCACCATTTAAATGAGGTAGGACATTAACCTAATAGATATCCCAACGAAAAAAAAATAACAAAAATACTTTATTTCATATACCAATATTATATTATGCTAGTGAACATTGTGCTCAAGTAAACTTGCTTACTAGAGGTTCTTAAATACTGTATCACTAGCATAATATAATATTGGTATATGAAATGAAGTAGTTTTTTTTTGCGTTGGGATATCTATTAAGTTTAATGCCCTACCTCATTTAAATGGTGAAATATAAATATGTTGTTTCGTACTTCATAGAAGCAATCCCGCTATTAACTTTAATAATAACTAATGGATTTCATCTGTCATTGTTATCTCAGCAACGCTGCCTATCGTGCTCGGCGTGATCGCGCTAGTGGCGGCGGCGACGGCAGTTGCAGGCTACATGTTTTGGAAAGCTAGGAACGCGCCGTTACCCCTTGCCGCGTCCCAGTACCAAGAATTAGATGGACCGGAGGGCAGCACCGGCATCAACCCGCTGTACAAATCCCCTACGTCTTCCTACAACAACCCCATGTGGAAAGGAGCCAAGGTCTAGCCAGGTCAGTAGAATCATTAAGCACAATTACCCATTCTTCTATTAAATCAGGTCGTAAATAACAGCGCTGACATCGACCCGCTATACAAATCCCCTACGCCTCCCTACAGCAATCCTATGTGGAAAGGAGCCAAGGTCTAGCCAGGTCAGTAGAATCGTTGAATTCACCTACCCATCCTACTATTGATACAGGTCATAAATAACAGCACCGACGTCAACCCTCTACAAATTCCCTACGCCTCTCTACAATAATTCCATGTGGGAAGGAGCCAAGATCTAGCCAGGCCAGTAGAATCATTGAACAAAACTCTCTCATCCCTACTCTTAATACAGATCGTAAATAACAGCACGGCCATCAACCCCTTGTACAAATCCCCTGTGTCCTTCTACAACAATCCTATGGGGAAAGTCGGGTCTGTGCAATAGTAGCGATTCTGCATTCAGTCCAGGTTCCAAAATCTTTGATACAAAAGGCAGGGCTTTATTATAAAAACAAATTCTTTCGCCATCAGTTGAAAAATATTTCACTGAATGATATAATACGAGATATCAGAGGACAATAAATTTACTATTAGTAGAGCCAAATTATTACTTTCAAGCGTTTTGCCATGAAATTAAACTACGCAAGTTCTAAACCTACTTTAATATCTGAACAGAGTGCTAAACACAGTGTATATTGCACACGATCCTTCGTTACGTCACGAAAACGTAGTTCCTCATCTGGCTTACTGAGAAACTAAAACCAGAATCGGAACAGAAAGCCACCAGTCTAGTTTTATAGGAAATCTTTAATGATTCATTTCTTACCGCAGCAAAAAAAGTACTATATCGATCATAAGGAGGTTGGATTTTGAGTCATCGGGATCATTGGTGTCGATTCTGTTTTGGTTCTCTAAACTTCAAACTAAATTTAACATCAGTCTCTTCTTTTCATTTTGAATGGAGAATGACAACGATACACTTTTGTCAAATTTAAGTTTAGGTTTAGAGAATCATGCCAGAATCGATACCAATATCAGCCTATTTTAAAGTCCCCACTGTTGGAGAACAGGTCTTCCTTATTTCAATTCCGACATTGGGTCATCATCATCAGTCTATTAATGTCCCCACTGCTGGCACAAGCCTTCCCTATGGATGGAATAGGGAGATTGGGCCATGACCCACCACGCGGGCCCAGTGCGGATTGGCGGGTGCTAACGACTGCAGATGCAGCCGGGACCAACGGCTTAACGTGCCTTCCGAAGCACGGAGGAACCAGAGAGAAGATTTTTGGTCACCCATCCAATGTCCGACCACTGCGAAAGTTCAACGCTCGCAGCCGAATGCGCTAACCACCCGCGCCATCGAGCTCCTCGACGTTGAGTATTGAGAACTTATTCCTTGGATTTATCTGCGCGGGCGCAGTCGATCTGTGCGCCACGATAACCTTGCTTGATTTCTCACTGGTCACTCACCACTGATAATGTCAGCCGTTCACTACTTATTTATACTACGAGTAAGTACATTTTCTTGCCGACATTTAATAACAAAGTGCAAAAATATAATATCAGTAATTGCAACCTCGACGGTGATTGTGACACAGATTCTGTTCAGATTGAATAGTGCAAAAATTGCGCTACATTATGCTTGATTACGTTTGGGGCACAAACAACGGGTCATTATGCGGTGGATCATTTCTTACGAGCCTTTAAAAAAAGTTAACTGTGCTTTACTTTCTTTTTAAAGAAATGTTAGATAAAAATAATGGTTCTATTGAGTTGAAACAGCTCTACAAATAATTTCTCATATCTTTTGTCAAAGCAATGTTATTTTGACAACATTGAGTAGTACCTATTGGATAAATAAGGTAATGGCATTCAATAACCTCATGTAATTGGCTATGGCAACCATAATTAACTGTTTAGAAACAAAGGTTGATATTAAACCAGCGCTGTAGAAAGAATGAGATAAAGCACGTGAATCATACACGATACGACACGTGTGCTTGGCGAATTAAATCTCTATTAATATTTCTTATCTTGGTATCGTGGTATTGTCTTTTTGTAAGATTCGGTGACAGGTTTGCTAATCGAAATCATTATAGCCCTCATAGAGGAGCTCGATGGCGCAGTTGGTTAGCGCGTTCGGTTGCGATCGTTGAAGTAAAGCAACTTTCGCAATGGTCGGTCATTGGATGGGTGACCAAAAATCTTCTATCTCGAGTTCTTCCGGAAGCACCGTTAAGCCGTTGGTCCTGGCTGCATCTGCAGGCGATAGCACCCGCCAATTCGCACTGGGCCCGCGTGGTGGGTCATGGCCCATTCTCCCTATTCCATCCATAGGGAAGGCCTGTGCCCCAACAGTGGGGACATTAATAAGCTGATGATGATAATAGCCCTCATAAGGATATTTGACTTTGTTTAGCACTTAGCACATGCGTGTTCCTTCATCTTGCGTACCCGCAAGATCTGGAAACAACTTCACTCATCAGTTTGGCCCTTAACTATAATATGACGGTCCGGCAGTGACCACTTACCATACGGGGGAATGAGAGTTCGTTTGCCTGCATAAACATAAAAAATACAATAATTTTGAAGCTTTTTGCAACTTTCTCGGGGATTTTAAAGAACGCAGCAATCACTCCTTTGGAGAAGTAACTCTAACAGCTCATAAGCTCGTTTGCCTGCATAAACATAAAAAAATGGTTTTCGAGCTTTTTGCAACTTTCTCAACTATGTCGAACAACGCAGCAATCACTCCTTTGGTGAAAATAAAAATATTTGTCGGATGACGACCTCCGTGGCCGAGTGGTTTGTACGCCGGGTTTCATGGTGTCGCCAACTCGAGAGGTCCTGGGTTCAAATCCCGGTGGGGGCAGATGTTTGTGTGATGAATACGAGCATTTGTACTCCAGTCATGGATGTTTAATATGTATTTTCTATATAAATATACTTATACATGTACAGTATAATTATGTATTCTATCCGTTACCCTAGTATCCCATAACACAAGCCTTATAGTGCTTACTTTGGGGCTAGGCTAATTGGTGTGAGTGTTGGAAATATATATTAAATATATTTATATATTATCCTAGCATGATTATAGTTATTTCTCTATTATTAACATGCTCTACCATTTGTCCCGAACCAAAGTCATTTAAATAAATATTCTCCGGTACTAAATTTGATACCATACTAAAACTTACTTATTATTCAATCTCTTTTACGAAACTGACGAATAATAATATACATATAACAGGTTCAAAATAGTGTGGCACAGCCTTCGATCAACAATTCAATTCAATATAAATAACGGGTTGCATACAAAATCAAAGCTAAAAACTGTCCGCGTATGTTTAAGCTTATGCAGCTACATTCGATTCCCAATGAACAGTGATAAATGTTTTAAAACAGTTTAAGTTGAACCTAATAACAACTATCACACAAAGGAAAAAGGTTACAAATAACAAAATGTTATTTCGCGCATACGATCACCTCTTATCTTATAAAACGAACTCTTTTTCCTTTTATAAATTATATCTGATACTTGGAAAAAAACCATAAAGGCGAAAAGGTGAAAATGTGAAATCAACCTTATGACCCACAAAATAAAATATTTTTACCAATCATACGCCAGCGAGTTACTTTGTTTTGCATTAACCGAACTAATTTAAAATAAGATCTCACGTCGCAAGTGAGGCTATATTTACGCTCTGATACATTATCTATAAAATTGCGAAGGCTACACTGCATTCAAAATTCATACAATGATACCATACATTATTTATGACACAGACAGAATCTTAAAGCAATGTACGAGAATGCTAGAATTTAACCAGTATATAAAGAAAATTAAAGCCACCGTAATACATGAAGGACTGATAAAAACAGTTGCGTAAACGACATCAAATATTTGATTTATAGCGCATTATAAATCAATTAACAGCTCGTCGTTGCTAATAGTTTCGTTCTGATAAGTATTTATATTGTAACGATCCGATGCGATGGTAGAATTTATATACTCTATATTTTCTCTTCCTTTGTTCTTCTTTGTTATAATGAGACAATACTGAGCTATAGTTATGACATAGCTCAATTCTTATATATGTATAATAAGAATTTTGTCGGAACGCAGGCCACGTTATAATTAAGTAACTATGGGGTTTTACTCGAGAAGGAAAAGGAGTAGATGAGAATATAATAATCACACTTATATTATAAAGGCGATGGTTTGCGAGTGTGTATGTTTGTTACTTCTTCACGACTAAACGGCTGACGTGAATTTAATAAATTTGGTATTGAGTCAGCTGACACCCTGGATTAACGCATAGGCTACGTTTTACTGCGGGAACACCGCGGGGCACAGCTAGTAATATATAATCATAGGAGCAGAATGACCTTACTTCGTTTCCCTGAAGACTATAATTAGGTTAATTTTGTATTGGTTTTTCTGCTAAATTTATAAATCTAAAGAAAGTTTAACTAGAAAAATATATCTTTTGATAGTTTTTGTTCTTGGATAAGTAAAAAATATTAAAGCCTGCCGTAAAAAATATTTGGTGAAATCAATTAGCTGGTATACAGACAGACGTGGAAAACCATTAAAATTTACTATGTATGATAGTGACAATGACTTTTATGTTTATAGTACGCCTAATTCATACAAGAGGTAGTTGTAAAAACAACTACGTGTGTACCGTTATGTTTTTGTCGCAATATTCAATCATTATCATATGGAATGCTTAAGCCATTATTACATGTCAAATATTATCAGTTTTTGGTATCGTATTTAAATAACTTTCCAAATGCAACTAATTTATTATTTAAGGATTGAACTGCTCCATTTTTTTTAATTATATTCCACTTGGCCAAAGCTTACATCGGAAAATTATTCTTTAGAGGATATAACTTTATTGTTCACTAGCGGCCGCCCGCGACTTCGTACTCGTGGTGTTAGTTACAAATAAAGGTTCACGGCTCGTTCCCTGATAATATGTAGCCTATATGTTGACCCGACTTCTTAATA